CTGAACACTTAATTGTGCTTCTGAGGAATTTGTACATGGCCTAAGAGGCAGTTGTTCAAACAGAACATGGGAACACTGAATGGTTTAAAATTAAGAAAGCTACGGAAGAGATGCATAGTATCCGAAGGACCTGGGAGAGGAGGAGCAGAGGAAACAATCTTTGCTTGTCTGGGAATTAGTGTTGGATTACTGAATAAGTAAGGTTGTGCTGCTTTCTGCCTCAGTACTAACCAGTATGTTGCAAGTCATCAAAAAGTTCAAGAGGGATCCATCTCAAATTCTGGTAAAGAAGGAAACATTGGCCTTAGAAAGGATCCTTGTTCTACAAAAAAAAAAAAAACTGAAAGAAGAATTGGCAGTGGGGATCAGTTTGGGAGGAGAGCTGTGCCCTTAGACATTAAAGACAAGCAGATTGTAAGGATTTCACTGAAATGAAACAAAATGTGTATGAATTGTTCAATGGAAAACTGATCTGCTATGTGAACCTTCACCCATTCCACAATACAATGTTTAAAAGAAACAAGACAAATGGATTTTGGGTGACCTGAAGATGTCTACAACACAACATGAAGGAAATGCCAGTGAAGATGGCTGACTTGAGTGAATCCCTGGGATGAGAGCGTTCTGAGTGCAGTGCTCTCTGGGGCTGAGTTGGCGATCATAACACACACTGTGCTTTCTGAGGGGTAATATTTGAAGCTTGTCTCAATACTCATAAAAAATCAAACACAGATTTTGATAGGAACACAACGTTAGTCATAATCTCATGTGAGGAAGTTCCTCAATGTCTACCTTAGGAATTTATTTTGTAGTTTTGTAGCAATGGTTGTATTGAGTGTGCTTTGTCATTTAATAATATACTTGTTGACTAAAAGATATAAGTGCTGTATATAATTAGCCAGGTAGATGACCATATCTGCCTTTATTGTGTTAGTTATCAGCTTAAATAGGAAAAACTTTAAAATGTCTTTGTAAAGAAAATCTTTGAATTCACTTTGTTCTTATATTTTTCATTAGTAAAGTAACTTATTGTACTAAATGTGAGCTTTGCTAAACACTTGTTGTTGTTGTTGTTAAGTGCAATCGAGTCGGTTCTGACCCATAGCTACCCTGTGTAAGGGTTTCCAAGGAGCAGCTAGTGAGCTCGAACTGTCGACCTTGCAGTTCAAACGGCTTTGCAGTCTGGCGCATTAACCCACAGCGCCACACTAGCAACAGTTATATCCTAGGGTTAGATCCCAGACAAAAAGTCATATTGTATATTGAGTGTTTCTTAAATTAAATTTAATAAATTACATTTTCTTTTGGAAAAAAAAATTAAGAAAGGTGTGCGACAAGGTTGTGTCCTTTCACCATATTTATCCAACCTGTACACTAAGCACATAGTCCGAGAAGCTGGGTTCTATGAAGAAAAACAGGATTGGAGGAAGACTCATTAACAACCTGTGATATGCAGATGCTACAACCTTGCTTGCTGAAAGTGAAGAGGACTGAAAATACTTAACTGATGAAGATCAAAGAGCACAGCCTTCGGTATGGATTGCATCTTGATGTAAAAAAAAAAAAAATCCTCACTACTGGACTAATAAACAATGAGAAAAGATTGAAATTGTCAAGGACTTAATTCTTCTTGAATCAACCATCAGCACTCATGAAGGCAGAAGTCAAGAAATCAGAAGACATATTGCATTAGGCAAATCTGCTGCACAAGACCTTTTTTAAAATGTTGAAGAGCAAAGGTGTCAGCTTGAGGACTAAGGTGTGCCTGACCCAAGCCATGGTATTTTCAATAACTTCATATGCATGTGAAAGCTGGACAGTGAATAATGAAGACCATAAAAGAATTGATGCTTTTGAGTTATGGTGTTGGAGGAGAATATTGAAAGTGCCATGGGCTGCCCAAAGAACCAATAGATCTGTGTTGGAAGAGGTGCAGCCAGAGTACTCCTTGGAGGCCAGGATGGCCAAACTTCGTGCCTCACACTTCAGACATATTGTCAGGAGGGACCACTCGCTGGAAAAGTATATTATGTTTGGTAAGGTGGAAGGTCAGAGAAAAAGAGGAAGACCCCCAACAAGATGATTGGCAAAGTGGCAGCATCAGTGGGCTCAAGCGTGGCAACAATTGTGAGGTTGGCCCAGGACTGGGCAGTGTTTCTTTCTGTTGTACATATGGTCGCTAAGAGTCAGTAGCGACTCAATGGCACCTAACAACAACCTTTTTGTAGTTGAGTTGTAAGAATCAAGTAGATAATAATGATTAGTGAGTTTACATCAAATTTAATACAAAGTGTTGAGTAGATGATTATATCCATTACTTGCTAAGTAATTTGTGTTCCTTAGAGTAACTGGATCATAATGGGTTTTCAAGTAAATGTAGTTCAGTGGACTTTATTTTTTTCCACAAAAACATGAATCTTTAATTAGACCTAGCTATTATGCTCAGTCTATTTCTTAGTAAGGGCTGTCAGCAAGGTAGTCTTCTCACAAGTATGCAGTGCAGCTAGGCTAGGTCGTGATATTCAGCCCTACTATGACCAGAGCTCTGGAAGCGTAGTGGTTACCAGTTGGGCTGCTAACCTCAATGTCAGCCGTTCCTTGGGAGAAAGATGTGGCTTTCTGCTCCCGTAAAGATTGACAGCCTTGGAAACCCTATACAGGTTTTGCTTTGAGTTGGAACCAACTTCACAGCACATAACCATAATGATTTCTCTCCTTACAGGAAATGTTTTTTCATAATTGGTCTTCTATTTAATAATTCTAGACTCTTTAAGTTGAATGGCATATTTTTGCTTTTGCTTTCAGACTGTAGAATGTGAAGAAGGAAGTGAAGATGATGAATCCCTCCGAGAAATGGTGGAACTGGCTGCACAAAGACTTTATGAGGCCCTTACCCCAGTTCACTGATAACCTTATATCTCTGTATACATTAAAACTTTTTTTTAAATGGGTGACTGTATTTCTGTTACTAAAATGCATTTGTTTCTCTGGGGTAGTCTATTTACTATTGACACAGTTGCTGTTAAGTTTCCATGGATTCAGTCCGCAACTCACTGCAACCTCATGGACAATAAAATCAAACTGCTGTGATTCATAAGGTTTTCACTGGCTGCTTCTCCACCACCACCTGGGAGTAGGTTGCCAGGCCTTTCTTCCTAATCTATGACAGTCTGGAAGCTCCAGTGAAACCTGTTCAGTATACAGCAACACAAAAGTCTCTACAGGTGGTGGCTACACATAAAATCAGACCTGGAATAGAAAGTCTCCTGCATGGGAGGCTAGAATTCTACCACTGAAACACCAGTGGCCCCTCTTTTGACATTAAATAGCTTTTATTCCAACCACTTGGCTACTGCTAAACTACCAATAAATTTACTCATTCTAGAGCTAAGGAGCTCAGGTGGTGCTAGAGGATAAGCACTAGACTTTGCTAACTGCCATCAGATCCACCAGCCACTCCCTGGGAGAAAGCTGAGGACACCTGCTCCAGTAAAGGTTTACAGCCTTGGAAACCCTATGCAGGTGGAAATATACTCAATAGCAATGGGTTTGGGTTGCTTTGGTTATTAAGTATATTACCCATTATTTTAGAACTTTACTGAATCTATTTCCAGGCATGTGTATCTCATTGAAACCTTTCAGATCTGTTCATATCAACTGAGTTTACCTTACTGTACTTTTTAAGGAAAGAAAACACATAGTCATATCCATATTCTAAATATGAATTTTTAAATTATCACATCAAGTTGTAAACCCACTTTCTCGGTTTTTTTCTCTTCTGGCACTTGCCAAATTGCTTGAATCTGTCTTCATCTCCACTGCCGCCTTCTAAGTTCAAGTCACTCTAAATTCCCGCAGTAATCTCCCTTCTTTCATACTTGATTTCTAAAAAAACACAAATCTGACTCAAGTCTAAAATCCTGCTTAAAATCCTTCAGTGTCTCCTTCATGACAGAACTAATGTCCAAACACCGTAACTTGGCCCACCTGGGGAGTATTAAGAAATTGCTGATGGAGTCCTGGTGTGGCACTGCAAAATAATCACGGGACGGCTGACCCCAACATAAGTGGTTCAAACCCACCAGTCACTCGTTGGAAACCCTCTATAGGATCACTGAGTAGAAACAACTGGAAGGCATTTTACAACACCTACCAACAGAAATTGTTGGTCTGCAGCAACCTTTAGGTATTTTTAAAGCTCTCCAGATGATTTTAACATGAACCCTGGTAATACCAGACTCTAGTTTGGGTGATGCTCTGCAACATCCCACCTGCACACCAGCTGCAATAATTCAAGCCACAGAAAGGTATCTCAATCTTTATAAAACTCACTGCTGCTCCTCTTACCCCTCTGATTTTAATCTTTAGTTCAGTTGTTTTAGGACTTCTGATCTGTTTTATCCTGGTCTTCACACCTCATTCCACAGATCAAAATGTTCAATAAATAACATCAATTTTAAGGCGTGATTAAGGAATTTCTTTGAACAACTCTGCCACAAGTCATATTATTGCCACTTGGTGAAACATCTAAACCGTTTATTTTTTGTTGTTTTTTGTTTTTTAGAAACCGCTTCAGGCCATGTGTGATTTTGGATTCGATGGCTGCACTTTGCTTTCACGGTAAGTTTTCAACTGGGGAAACTAGCAGATGACACTGTGGCAAGAGGAGCAAGTAGGTAAGCTGCTGAACTGAGGTCCTCAGTGGTGCTCTCTCTCCGTGGTGAAGGTGCCGGCGGCCCAGAGCAACATTCTAGACTCGTGGTCTGACTCCCCGTGAAAGAGGTCTCCTTCCAAGCGTCCTGCTACACCCACACTTTCAGGCAACGTCTTGTGTCTTTCCCCAAGAGCGCAAAGCCGCTACTACTTGCGAGCTATCGCTCATCTTAAAAACGACTAGCACTCCCTCTTGCTGGCCACCAACGGAACCAGCTTACTGCACTCGGAAGACAAGGATTCTAGTGGTAGAGCGCGGGCGGGGGCACTCGCCCGGATATCCGGCCTCGCCCCGCCTCCCGCGACCTCAGCCATGGCGGTGTGTGAAGCCGTGAGCTGTGGGAGTTCACTGCGTTGGCCTCGCGTGTTACTATTTGGAGACTCCATCACCCAGGTACCGCCGGCCCGGTTTCCTGGTCTGACCTGGTGCCACTCTCCCATCAAATCCCTTAACTCTCAAGTGGCCTGCGTTCTCGGTGCCCTCGGTTTCTTTGGGCGCCGCGAACGCTCCCGGCCTGGTCTGTTGTCACAAGCTCTTGACTCGCTTTACTGCCCCAATGTCTCCCCACTAAGTCCAGTAGGCTGTTTTAAGATTCTCAAGGCCAGCTTTCTCCATAATGCCCCGCTTTTCCACCTGAGGTCTTTTTTGTAATGCTTCCACCTTCCTGTTAATGATGCCAATGAAGGCGTTCTTTCTTTAGTAATATCCCGACAGTGGTTCTTAGTTACTATCTTAAGGGACAATGATATGTTCGAGGTTTACGCAATACGTTCATATGCGTTTCCATTTAGCTTCGTAGCTCTGTCGCTGTTTTACAGATAACAGGTCTAGGGAAGGGTGGATACTTGTCCAGGTCATGCCCTAATGACAGGCTGAGCTCAGCCTGAATTCCGTTGCCCTTTCCGTTCTGCGTCATTTCCCGTAGGGATTCTGTGAGGACCTGGTGACAGGAGATGGACTACCATCCGCAAGGTCTTGGTTCAAACTCACCACAGCCACTCCACAGTAGAAATGAGGTTTTTCTGCTCGTGTACATACAGACTTAAACAGCCTCGCAAACCTTAAGGGACCGTTCTATTCTGTCCTGTGGGTCACAGTCTGAATTACTTGATGGCAGTGAGTTTGAATTGTTTGTTTTGTACAAATTGAGGTGCTCTGCTTTCATTTTACTGTCGCCAGTAACTGCTCTTTTCCAAAAAAAATGTGGCTTAGTCGTCCTCAGACAGGAACCGAGCTTGTTTGTTGTCTGCCGCACACTGAGCTGATCATCATGCTCCATCAACCCCGGAAGTTCATCCAAGGGGGCCAAATGCACAGCCCGTGGTGGCTGAGTCACTTCCTGCCTGCTTTCTCCAGTCTGCACCCTCACTGCAGAAGTCACCGTAGTGCTTCTGCTAGGGGAACACTTTTTAAGTCAGGAAAATAAAATGCTTTCAAAAATAAAGTGGAAAAAGGTAATCTTTTTATTCAAGATCATTTCAGCTCACTTGTAAGAAAAAGTTGTAGGAGATAAATGTTCTGTTGTTGCGAAGTGCCGTCGAGTGGATCCCGACCCGTAGCGACCCTGTATAGGGTTTCCAAGGAGCAGCTGGTGAGCTTAAACCACCGACCTTGCAGTTCAAACGGCTTTACAGTCTGGCGCATTAACCCACAACGCCACATCAGGACTCCTACATGTTCTGAGAGGGAGTAAAATTTTGTAACATTTCAGGTATGACTTCCTGAAGCAATATGACTTTGTAAGTAATTGCTGTCATTAACTTTAGCATTTGGAGAAGTAAAAGACCTTCCAAATTCCAAGTGAATTGAATTTTATAATAGTAAACCATCTATTTTCTAATTATCCTTTCATGTATGGACACAGGTCTTCATTATCTCACTGAACACATATGTAGGTTTTGTCGCTTACACATTGATTTTTTAAAGTAGTTTTTTTCTAGATAAGAATAACTAACATTGTGGTGGTGGTATCTGGTATTAGTTGACTCCAGCTTGGCAACCGTATGCATGCTGGTGGGTTTGAACTGTTGACCTTCCAGTTAGCAATCCAGTGCTTATCCTATAGCACCACACTAGAACTACTCCGCAGAACTTTCCAAGTTGTGACTGGGGAGAAGCAGATCACCCGATCTCCCTTCCAAGGTGCCTCTGTGTGGTTCCAACCACCAACTTTTTGGCTAGTAGTTGAGTGCTTAACTGTTTGCACCACCCAAGGGGCTCCTGACTAACAATGCCAAACTAAAAACAAACTCATTGCAGTCCAGTCCAGTCCAGTCCAGTGCTCACTGACCCTATAAGACAGGGTAGAACTGCCCCATCAGGTTTCCAGAACTGTGATCTTTAAGGAAGATTTACTGCTACATCTTTTCTCTTTGAGTGCCTGCTGGGCACCCTTCAAATCACTGACCTTTCTGTTAACTGCCAAGCACATTACTTCTCCACCATCAGGGCTCCTTGACACTAATTTGTTAAGTGCTATCAAGTGGTTCCAACTCATAACAACCCTGTTTAGGGTTTCCAAGGAGCAGGTGGTAGGTTTAACCGCTGACGTTGTGGTTCACAGTCCAGTGCTGATCCTACAGTACCACACCTAAAAGTCTCAGTAAAATGTAAATGAGTCATTCAAATTCAATTTATATAGAAAAAATATATACTGCTTATTTCCAGAGTGCTACTAAAGTGTAGCTATGATAATCCGTAAAATGAGAGCTCCCCTCAGTAAATCAAAGGATGGTCAAGAAGTGTAAAGAGAAAACAAGAATTGGTAATTAAAATTCCCTTCATTAAAATGTTTTACTTATGTGGATAAGTAGTAATGGGCTTTTCTTCAGTTTTCTTTTCAGCAGGGTGGATGGGGAGCATCACTGGCAGACAAGCTGGTCAGGTGAGAAAAGTTTTGGATTGATACTTGAGCATTTGATAGAAAGTGTAATTGTATCTCAAGAAAAGAGAAAGAGGGTAAATTATACAGTTTCAAACAGTAAATGGCTAGCCAAGGACAGAGTGAGGTTTGAGCCCAAGCAATCTGACTCTAGTACCTTGTGGTTTTACTGCTACACCAGACTAAGGATGAAGCTGTTTTGCCACAGACTGACTAACCCAACAAACTGATGTAAGATAGACTCATCCTATCAGAAGTCTAGTGGATTTCATCTTATCATTGTAAGTGATTGAACTTTTAAAAATGGCTAGTCAGCTTTATGTAATCATTCACATAAAAACACTAAGATTTTTACTAAGGAATAAATGTAGTTGAGCTTTTGTACGTTCCCAAGACTTATGAAATGCTACCTGAGCTTTCTGAGTAGTGTCATAAAAATGAGTCCCTCCTCCTGCTGCTCTCTTTGGGATCAGCTGCCTGGCATTATCGTCTCCACAGTCACTCATTGGTGCTCTAGCATTTCTGCCTACTTATTTATACCAGGGGCCTTTAAAAAGTTTGTGGGAAAATGGAATGAAAACATACTGGAATTTTCCCACAAACATGTTGAAGCCCTTTGTATTGCAAATATTATTTCTTATCTTTAAGACAACCTATTACAAAGTATCAAGAGTTCCCATTTTACAGATAAGGAAATTAAGGCCAAGGGAGCTTAAGTAGTTTGTTTTTTCTAAGTCCATGCAGCTGATGCGTGCAGATGTGTTTTACGTAGGCCATCTAATCACTGAACTATATTGAAGACTGTAGGGAGGGCCCTGCAGTTAGGAAATGGCAGAGCTCGAATTTGAACCCAGTCCTGCCCAACCTAGCCCAACCTAAATCCTATGAGGAGGCTTCAAAAGTTTGTGAGAATATAGAACTGAAAGATAATGGAATTTTTCCACAAGCTTTTTGAAGCACTCTTGTATTTGGGAATTTGAACCACACACCAGAATGAACTACATCAATTTGCTAACCATAAAATGAACACAAAGTTTGATTTTTAAAACATTTTATTATGGACAACTTCAAAAATCTTCAAAAGCAAATAAAGTAATGTAATTAACCCATTTGCCCAACCTCTTGCCATGGATTATTTTGGAGCAAATCCCAGATCATATAATTTTACCAAATGATAATTGCATACCTCTGATGTAACTGATAAGGAACCTTGGTGGCTTAGTGGGTTAAGAACAAGATCAGCAGTTCAAACCCACCAACCACTCCATGGGAGAACATAACCGTTCCCGTAAAGATTTATAGTTTCAGAAACCCTGTCCTATAGGGTTCCTCTCAGTCTGAATGGACTCAATGAGCCACAGTAGAGTTTGAATATAATTGCCAGTGTGGTAAGCTTGTTCCCTTTTAGTTGATTTTGCCTCATAGTTACCCTACCGGACAGAGTAGAACTGTCTCAGGGTTTCCAGTGCTGTAATTCTCAGGGAAGCAAAGTCCACCACATTGTTCTCCTGCAGAGTTGCTTGGTGTTGTGTTCTTTTGTGCCATTGAGTTAGTTCTGAAGGAGCTCTGGTAGTGTAGTGGTTACGAATCGGACTGCGAACCTTAAGGTCAGCAGTTTGAAACTACCAGCTGTTCTGCAGGAGAAAGATGAGGCGTTCTGCTCCTGTAAAGATTTACAGCCTCGGAACCAACTCCACGGCACAAAACCACTAACACCATGTGATCCTGTGTAGGGTTTTTGAGAGCAACTAGTGGGTTTGAACTGTAAACCTTGCAGTTGAAAGTCCAATGTTTATCCTATGGTGCCATACCAGTGTTCTGGTATTGAATTTTTGTTATATACCATGGAGTTGGTTCCAACTCCTAGCAACTGTATATAGGCTGTAAATCTTTACTGGAGCAGAAAGCCTCATCTTTCTCCTGCGGAACAGCTGGTAGTTTCGAACTGCTGACCCTGAGGATGGCAGCCTGATTCGTAACCACTACACTACCAGAATGTGTTATCAAACTTAATCATGAACTTTTGTTATGATAACTTTATATGTAGGGAGCTAAGTAACATGCCAAACTGGCTTAAACTGAAACAAAACTAATTATTATACTAAAATTATTTAATTTAAACAAAATGAAATGCCTTCAAAATACTCCATGCATTTGTCCTAAACAATTGGGCTGCTAACTGCAAGTCAGCAGTTTAAACCCATGCGCTGCTCTGTGGGAGAAAGATAAGACTATTTGCCCCCATGAAGATTTACAGTCTCAGAAGCCCACATTGGCAGTTCTACTGTGCCCTATAGAGCTGCTGAGAGTCACAGTTGACTTGATGGCTGTGGGATGATGGTAGTGAAACCATTATTGCATTTGAGTTTCAGTTTATTAGTGACTTTCGACATAAGATACTAGCCCAGATTAATATCTGCTTGTCATAAATTTCACTTCAAAAACTGTTCCATGCATAAAATCATAGCCCCTTTGCAGACTGAATCATAGCCCCTTTTTACAAAATGATTCATAGCCTCTGTCATTTGGAAGTAAGATGTGTTTACCTATATACATGAACTACTTAAGGAAGAATGGCATGCTCCAAGCATTTTCTTGCTTTTATCAAAGTGAAACCTGGGCTGTTTCACAGCTGTGGGACCCTAGCACAGATCCCGTGCCTAGAGAGCACGCCCTCACTAAAGATTGGCTAAATAAGGTAATACATCGTTCTTTGCCTACTGCTGATCTTAAAAATTTTTCATTTCAGAAAATGTGATGTTCTGAATCGTGGATTTTCGGGTTACAATACCAGATGGGCCAAAATTATTCTTCCAAGATTAATCAGGAAAGGAAACAGTTTGGACAACCCTATAACAGTTACAATTTTCTTTGGTGCCAATGACAGTGCTTTAAAAGGTAAAAGCATTTTTGTGTTTTTCTAGCTTGTTGTAAATTATATTTACTTAAGGTAAACTTAAATTTATGTACTGCTTTCAGTTGTTTACATATCTCCCAATAGATAACTGTTGCAGAGCTTATAAATGAGGTCCCTGAGCTCACTTAGGTGTGTTTCTTCTGGCTTTAATGTTGGTAGATTTTATTGCTGACTCATATCTACATGCTCTTGGTTGTTGGTAGACCTAAAATGTCGTGTTTTAATGTGTTCTAAAGCCTCCTTAGTAGTGCAGTACTAAGTTGCTAATTCATTCTCTCTTTAACTGATGTAGTTGGCAGTTGTTGTGTGCTATTGAGTCAATTCTGACTCATGGCCACCCCCTGGGTTACAGAGTCAAACTGCTTCATAGGGTTTTCTTGGCTATAATCTTTAGAAAAGCAGAACATCAAAAACTAACCACCAATCTTTTGGTTACCAGTGCAAACCATTGCACCACTCAAATTGTCCTCATACGGTTTTAATTATACTGATTAAAAAGGAGTACAGGTGGTCCCTATTTACAATGCTGAACTTAGGACCATCTGGGGGGTTGTTTACTACATACGATGTTAAAATGTATCTGTAAGTGTATGTGTACTGCTTCCATCCCACAAAGACTAAAAGATACTGATAATAAAGGCAGTCATAATGAAAACTTAAGAAGAGCGAGCTTTGACTTAGAACTGATTTATTCTCATGGAGTCATCAGAACAGAACCGCATCGTGAGTCAGGGGTTCCCTGTGCTGGTGGAGGGCAGCAGCAGATTTGAACTAGGTTCATGCTTGAATTCTGGGTGTTGGTAAACCTGGATTCTGAAAAGGAGATGTGTGTCTTCATGTTTCCTGAAGAACTGCTGCTGCAACTGGAAGAAACACCGTGTGCAGGCTGTATCCTTTCAAAGGATAAAGAGGGAAAAAATACCGGTTATTTTGGAAAACTGCATAGGCCTATTACCTCAGAACAAACACCAACTAGTCTGCTGTTTATGGGCCTATGGGGGAATTCCCAAGTGAGCCACGCAGCCCAAGATACAGGAAGGGTCAACTGTTAATTGCAGCACAAAGAATCCTTACTGCCTCTGAGAAAGCTTATATTAAGTACAGGTGTTAGTAGAGACTATACATTAATGATTTTGAATAAGTGAAGTCAGTTCTTCACTTTACTATTGTACCAAAACAAATTTGGAATGAATTAACATAATTAGATATAAGGAAGGAAATGTCATAGAACAGAATTTTTAAAACCTTGTTTCAATTTTAAGACAAGAGAAAAACACTTCCTAAGCACAAAAACCTAGACAGTCCAAGTTTCACTAAAGGCATTGGTGAGAAATAAGGCTCCAGAAATTGACAAAATACCAACTGAAATGTTTCAACAAACTGAAGGAGTACTGAAGGCTCTCACTCATCTGTGCAAGAAATTTGTAAAATAGCTACCTGGTCAACTGAAAGGAAAAGATCCATATTTGTGTCCATTCCAAAAAAAGGTGAACCATTGGAATGTGGAAATCATTGAACAATATCATTGATATCACATACAAGTAAAAATCTGAAGATATTTCTAAAATGGTTGCAGCATTACATTGAAAGGGAATCGTCAGAAATTCAGAGATTCAAAAGAGGACTTAGAACAAGGAATATCACTGCTGATGTAAGATGGATCTTTACTGAAAGCAGAGACTATCAGAAAAATGTTTACATGTGCTTCATTGACTATGCAAAGGCATTCAGTTTTGTGCATCATAACAAACTATGACTAACATTACAAAGAATGGGTACTTGTTATAACAGAGCAAGGAGATACTGAATGGCTTAAAATCAGGAAAGGTGTGTTCCAGGGTTGTATCCTTTCACCATACTTATTCAAACTGTATTCTGAGCAACGAATCTGAGAAATCTGGATTATATGAATGATATGGCGTCATAATCTGAAGAAGATTTATTAATAAAATGACACAACTTTGCTTGCTAAAAACCAAGAGGACTTCAAATATTTACTGATGGAGATCAAAGAGTACTGCCTTCAGTATGGGTTGTACCTCAGTGTAAAGAAAATGAAAATTCTCACACTGAACCAATAAATAAAACCATGATAAAACAGAAATACCGAAGTTGTCAAAGACTTCACTTTGCTTGCATCCACAGCCAACACTCATGAAAGAATCAGTTAAGAAATCAAATGATGTATTAAGCAAATCTGTTGCAAAAGACCTCATTAATGTGTTCAAGAGCAAAGAGGTCAGTTTGAGGATGCACCTGACCCAAGCTATGGTTCTTTCATATGCATTTGAAAGTTGAACAGTGAATAAGGAAGACCATAGGAACATTTGAATTATGAGGTTGGAGAAGAATATTGAAAGTACCATGTACTGCCACAAGAAGAAACAAATCTGTCTTGGAAGTACAGCCGGAATGCAAAGTTGGTAAGAATTTGCCATGCTTTGGACATGTTATCAGGAGGGAACAGTCCCAGGAAAAGGACATCATGTTTGGTAAAGTGGAGGGTTGTAGAAAAAGAGGAAGCCCAACAAGATGAATTGATAAAGTGGCAGCAACAATGGGACATAATGATTATAAGGATGGCACAGGACCGGGCAGTGCTTGTGCAGAGGGTTGGTATGAATTGAAACCGATCTGACAGAGCTAGCAACAACTAAGCATAAAAACAAGGTAGGGAAGGCACAAAGAAAATAACTAGGTCTATGACATAAATTCAAAACCACTTACATCATAAAAATCTTGAAAAAGAAAATAACACGCTGAGAAAATATCTGCAAAAAGTATGCCAGACCAATACACAAGAAGTGGGGAGGGGTGGAAGAACAAGGTAGATAGGGAAACACTGCTACAGATTTGCATGGTCTAAATGAGACAGAGGTAAATAGTGATGCATGCTCAACCTTGGAACAACAGGGCTCTGTGATATAGGGATCAAGGCATAGTCTGAAGAGGGGAAAGAATACTAAGATACTTGACTGTCTTTTGAATGTTGGTTTCCCTTGCCTATTATTATAAAATAGACACTTGAGTGGGATAGAAAGGATATCAAGAAACACGAGTACAAAAAGCTTATAAGCCCATCTTCAGCCTATAACTAATACCTAGAATACCTAAAAGGGGTTCTAGAACTTGTCCAGTGAAATAGGTCTCGTGTGGAGCCTATGTACTGTATAGGACCTTAGATGGAATCTTGAGCCCCATCTAGAACTTTCTGAGGTGGGACATTCCCACTAGAAAGGACAAGTAGACCAGCCTGGAACAGCTGGAGCAACAGAAGATATATCTTCATAGAAAGATCAGCAGAAAAAACCCAAAACAATAATAGCAATATTATTGGCTACTACAATAAGCAAGTTGTTCACCAGGAAGCCATCATCAAGGCAAGCAACCAAGTCCCTTCAGGACAAACTCCCTTCTAAGACTGAAACTCAAAGGGAACACATGAGCTGGCATGTAACCGTGCTGTCGACCACATTGGTCTACTGGTGAGTGCAAGAGGGGGAAAGATAGCAATAAAGATATGGGCCAAATTTGACCACGGTGCATAGTCTCCTGTCGTCCTGGAGATGAGAGACAGAAGAAGAAGGGCTGGTTGGTCCCAAGTGTGGTGAGACTTGGGGACACCTGAGCCCTTGGACAAGGACATAGCCAAGGGGACTAGAGCTGAGAGTGAAGCATCCATCTGATATGAAGTGAGTGGAGACACACAAGAACACCTAAATTTGCAGATAGTATCTATTGGACCTCGATGGCTTGATAATATGAACTTGACTAGAGGAAGATTAAAAAAAAAAAAAAACAACAATTTTTGATAAAGGAAACAAGGGTAAATTGCTACAATTTGATGAAATTGACCTATACTCGGAGGTAGTAACTCAAAATACCAACAGAGAGGGAAGGAGTCTTAGACATTGGCTACATAAAATGAGGGGGCGATAAAGGTGCGAAGAGACTAGCTTACAAGTCTGCAAGATGGAGTTTAGTTTAAGAGTGTTTGGGGGAAGATAGAGTCCCTCTGAATAGTTTTCATCTTGTCTAGATGGGTCTGGTGAAAAGAGACGGGATAAGATTCTTAATGATTCAGTAGTGAGTAATTGTTATCATGATTATTTGCACCTGTCACAATTGTAATAGAAGTTTTGTAACAAAAATGGGGGAGTAGTTAATCTTACAGAAGACCCTAGGACCATCAAGGGAGAAGAGCACAAGTGGAATATGGGACCTTATCCAGAGACGTAGTAACACCAGGGATGGAGGCAGAGATGGGGACATGGAGAGAGGGAGCAGCTTAGGACTCTAGATTCATGAAAAGAGGGGGACTAAGAGCTGGCGGCCAGGAGGCAGACTTGCAGAATGTGCCCTTGGGTGGTTATATATGCCTGAGTGTTGAAATACTGTTAACTGATGGTACATGGAGATTATATAATCATTCATTGTAGTGAAACAAAGTACTAAGTATATGATTTGTTGAATGTAAAACTGATGATCTGCCCTGTAAACTTTCACTCAATTCACAATAAAAACCTTAAAAATAATAT